TCTTCATTTTCATCTAAAAGAAAAAAATTAAAACTAAAGTTGATTATTATACCCGTAAAATGCTTAAAAACAGAGTCTATTGCAATGTCGAATATATTCGACAAAACCACGGAAAGGGTTAATCACTGCATTACATATAATTATTTTTATAGAAAATTCAAAATGTACCATTGAGTTCCTTATGGATTTTTACTTATAGATCTTTCGATTTTTGTTTCTAGATCTAATGTAAAAGAAAATTTAAAGAGTACCATTGAGAAAAAAGTACTTTCATATAGGTTTTAATTCACATAGGACCGTTTTTTATATTGTAAAAATCTCAAAAAGAGATATTATAGAAAATTCAGAAAGTACCAGTTAAAGAATAAAAAGTGCCAAAGTACCTTCATACACATTTCCTTTCATTCAAAACCCTGCATGCTAAATTTGATGTTTCTAAGACCAATATTATCGATAATCCAAAAAGGACCTTTAATGTTTATTTAATATTTTTGGGAATAATTACTTTAGAAATCTCCAAAATTACCGGCTGAGGAACGAAAAAGTAAAAAATATTCCCTTTGTGCAGATTTCCATTCAACTGGAACCCTGTGTGTTTAATTTTATGCCTCTAAGTCCAATTATATAGAAAAATCAGAAAGTAGAGCGAAAAAGTACCAAAAGTCCCTTCCTATAGATTTCCATTCATCCGTATTTTATGTTTCTACGAAAACGAAACAAAAAAGAACCAATAAACACTTATTTTAATTTATATTTCAATATTATAGAAAACTCAAAAAGTACCAGCTGAAGAACATTCATACAGATTTCCATGAACAGAACCCTGCGTGTTTAATTTTATGTTTCTGACCAATATTATTGAAAAGCTAAAAAACACCTTTTGAAAAACTACAAAGTACCCAAAAAGTCCTCTTATATTATAGAAAACATAAAAGGTATTCGTTGAAGAACGAAAAAGTACTAAAAGATCGCATTTAGATACTCACACACTGTGGACCCTTCATGTTTCTAGGTTCAATATTATAGAAAATTCAAAAAGTACCTTTTGAAGAACACTTAATCGTTCCATGTTGTATATTTTTATTAAACGTTTAATTAATACCAGTAAAAGATAGAAAAAGTAACCAAAATATTATAAATTCTCATTCACTCAGGGCTGCATGTTTAATTTTATGTTTCTAGGTCTAATATTAAAACTTTTTAAATATACAGTGCTTAAATTTTTAGATCATAGATAGAAACGAAAAATTTCTAAAATCTGCTTTTAATTTCTCAAAAAAATATGTTTCAAAAAGTAATAAACTGGCTCAATAAGTATGAATAAAAATAAGTTTTTTCCATTTTTTTGGTACATATTTAAGTAAAATAAATGTTTAAATAAAAGAAATTGTATTCCAAAAATTGTAGTGAGAGCCCGTAATTATATAAATATACATATACATGTATGTTGATAAATAGGAAACAATGTTTTATTAAAATTGTACCAAAAATGGGTACCATTTTACCCCTTAAATGTTCGAATTTCTAAAGAGTACTAAATTTGTATTTGTTATTTTTTGATAAGTAACGAATGTGATATAAATTTTATTATTATACATATCATAATTCTAATGTATGAGAATTAATCAAACTACACTTTTGATTTTAACTTAAATTTATTAAATAAGCAGCTTGGCTGTAAACTTTATCAAACTTAAATTCGATTATTAAGCAGCTCGGCTTTAGACTTAATTACGCAGCAAGGCAGATGATATTATAATGTTCTCAGTTTAATGTTTTTTAACAGAGTATCAAAAAATCAAGAATAGTAATATAATTTTAAGTCGTAGTTAATATGTACCAAAATTCCAAAATCAGTGTAAATAAAAACCGTTATTATACTTAAGTACAGAAGTAGGTAGATTAAAAGAAGAAATATATAATTAATACAAAAAATACAATGAGAATGAACAATGTAATTAACATGATGTACATTACATAAATTAACAGCAGCTTAAAAATACTGGTTATATTTTAATATTGAGGTAAAGAGATAGCAAATGTAAGTTTAATGATAAGTGTTACATTTTCAGAAACCCCAATAGGAAATTTATAATTAAAAGTTAAAATAAATAAAATAAAATACTGATTCTCCAAAATTTTCCCCCTCCAAGAACAACTGTTCTTCAGTCAGAGTTATTTCTTAGCTTTTCATAATCTTCATCTGACGGCAAAAATGCAATTTTTGAAACGGGTCGCTTAAAGATTTTTCCATGGGATTGTATAGTAACCACTCGTACGATACCATCTGCACCAGGATGCACTTCCTTCACGCGAGCTAACGGCCATGTTCCAGGTGGGCAGCGTTCATCAATAATAAGTACAAGATCTCCCACTTTAGTATTTCCTTTTGGTTTCAACCACTTAGGCCTAGATTGTAAACGACACAACCATTCATTTCTCCAACGGTGCCAAAAATGTTGTTTAAGTTTTTCAATTGCCTTCCATCTTGTGAGTCGATTAATGTTGCAGTCTAATAAATTTTCCTCTGGTATACAGTTTGTTGCTTCTCCGATTAGAAAATGAGATGGTGTCAAAGCATTAGCATCAGTTGGATCATTGTTTAATGGACACAGAGGTCTAGAATTTAGACAACTTTCTATTTGAGCCAGAAAAGTGCTTAATTCTTCATAAGTAACAACCTTGCAATCTAGTAAACGTTTAAGATGGTACTTTGTCGACTTAACGCCGGCTTCCCAAAGACCGCCGAAATTTGGTGTAGCTGGTGGTATAAAATGCCACTGAGTTCCATCAGTAGCCAGTATTTCTAGCAATTCCTCTGGTAGCGACGACTTATTTCGGTTATATAAAATCTGCAGTTCTTTATTTGCACCAATGAAATTCGTACCGCAATCAGAGTACAGATCTGTACATTTTCCACGACGAGAAGAAAATCTGCGGAATGCAGCCAAGAATGCTTCCGTTGACAGACTCGTAACGGCTTCTAAGTGTTACCATACAAATAAAGAGACATATGTACCCTTTCGTTGTAACCGCATTTCTCGCAGTTGACTGTTTGATAATTATGGGTCCTGCATAATCGACACCGCTATGTTTAAATGGACGAGTAGGCGTTAAACGTACAGTAGGAAGGTTACCCATCATTTGTTGCGATACTTTAGCGTTATATTTGAAACACTTTGAGCAACATCGTATTACCATTTTTGCCAAATTTCGACCATATAAAATCCAGTACTTTCTCGCTACGTACGATTGCATCCGTAAAAGAAACCCAAGGTTTTTATATGCGCATCTGTAAATATAAGAGTTGACATTGGGTTTTGTTTTTTAAGCAAAATTGGATGTTTTGAAGAATAAGCCAAATTAGAATTTTGTAACCGTCCTCCCACACGTAATATATTCTCAGAGTCAATAAATGGACACAAGCGTGAAAGGTGATTATTGACCGATAGCTTTCCATATTTTTGTAATTCACTTATTTCGTCCAAAAAATCAACATTTTGAGATATTATAATAAGTTTTTGAAGTGAAGCTCTTTGTTCAATTGTGGTGAGAAAACCAGTCATCTTACATTTATCTATTGCTTGATTTTGTTTATGTCGTTTTTGAATCATTATGTTATATTGAAATCGATAAATATAAGAGGTTATTCTAACAAGTTTTTCTAAAGACGAATAGAGTTGAAATATATATGGATATTTATTTTTAACAGTTGTATTAGTTAAAGCATTTATTGTTACATATGACTTAGATATTTCCTCAGCAGTTTCATAATTTAACGAGGGTTGTAGTGGCCAGTTTTGTATGTTCTCTTTCAACCATTTAGGGCCCGTCCACCACATATCATTTTTAGCAAGATCGCTTGGGAGTATGCCTCTGGACGCAATCGGCAGGATTCTCATTAGATGCTATATATTTCCACTGCTCTGCGTTTGAAAACCTTTGAATCTCAGCCACTCTATTACCAACGTAAACTATCCATTTCGAAGATTGACCTCTTATCCAGCATAAAACGGTTGTATTGTCAGTCCAATAAGTGATATTATCGATTTTATGTTCAAATTTTGTATGGATTTTATTAACTAACTTGACTAAAAGTGTAGCGCCACATAATTCTAGCCTTGGAATAGATAGTCTTTTAAGAGGACTTACTTTTGTTTTAGCTTGTAGGAGACTTATTACGGAATTACCATCAACAGCAGTAACTTTAGAATAAACTACGGCTGAAAACGCTAATGTGGACGCATCACTAAATGCGTGTAGCTCAAGTTTAGCTGTTTTAACTAATCCGATCCATCTAGGTATTTTAATAATTTATAATCCTTTTAAATTTTCCATATATGTTAGCCACTCGGATGCTATATGTTGAGGAAGTTGGTCATTCCAGTCTACTCCTAACAACCACAACCTTTGAAACATTATCTTTGCCTTAATTGTTGATGGGGACAGCCACCCTAACGGATCATATAATTTTGCAGCATCAGAAAGTATACTTCTTTTGGTTACTGTATCATTACGCTTAAAGTTAACTTTAAAAGAGAAAGAGTCTGTGTTGACATTCCATTCCAGACCTAGAGCTTTAACACTGTCGGTTTTATCTATTTCAAATACGTCCTTAATCTCTCTATATTCAATAGGTATACTACTAATAAATTGTCTGTCATTAGAGATCCACTTTCTTAGTGTAAAACCGCCCATTTTTAACATTTTAGACAACTGTTGTTGTAGCAGAATAGCTTCATCGTAACTATCAGCACCTGAAATTATATCATCAACGTATGTATCAGAGATGAGCACTTTACTTGCTGTTGGATAATTTTCAGTCTCATCTTCTGCTAATTGATGTAGTACTCTCATAGACAGAAAAGGGGCAGAAGTTGTACCGTAGGTAACTGTCGATAATTTGTAGATATTGATATCACTATTGGCACTTTTACGCCACAATATTTGTTGGTACTTTTGGTGGTCATTTATAACATTAATTTGGCGAAACATTTTTTCTAAGTCTGATCGATGAATTCATCATTTAATGAAGATTTTGTACAATTTTTAGTGCTACCGTCAAACACTACTCTTAATTTCGTTGTAGAACTACTTTCCCTCCAAACTCCATGGTGTGGTAAAAAGTAGCAATTTCTTCCCAAATCATTGGGATATACACCAACCGCTTTCATGTGATTTAAGTTTTCATATTCAGTCATAAATTTATAATAAGCGTCCCCAAATTTAGGATTTTGTTTACATTTTGCTTCTATATTTTTCAATCGTGAAAGTGCGCTATAATCAGTCATACTAAACATTGGCATTGGTTCACCTTTAATTATATTTTTAAACGGCAAAGCAACTTTGTATCGACCCGTACTATCTCTTGTTGTTGTTGCCTTAAAATATCTTTCACAAAGTTCTTCTTCTTCTGTCCACTTTCTCTTTTCTAGTAATTCTTCTTGAAGCCAAAAGGCCTTTAATTGTTCTTCTAATGAACAAATATTCACATTAATGAGGTCGCTATAAACGAATTTAGAAGTGGGTCCTGATACAACCCACCCAAAGTGGGTGTACTGTAAGAAAATACTATTTTCAAATTTCTTTTGATCGGGTAAAATTATCTCACCATAAACATCTCCACCCAGTAGTAAATCAATTTCTCCAGGATTTAAGAATTCTGGGTCAGCTAATTGAAAATTATCGATATTTGGAAGTTTTCCCTTATTTGTTGGTATAGGTTGGTAATGTGTGATGGACGGTACAACAAGAGCACTACATTTCAATTCAAAACTAGGTTCTGTTCTAGATTGCAGTACTAAATTTACATATTTATGAGTAGTAATAGATTTATTTTTACAAACTCCACTAATTTGAGCAAATGTTTTAAAGGACTGTAATCTTAAAGTTTGTGATGCATTTTCAGTAATAAGTGTGGCTTGGGCACAGTGGTCTAACATTGCCCTGAGGGAAAAAGTTTCATAGTATGTTTTAACACTAACTCGCATTGTGGCTAATAAAACTTGAGGTTTTGCGAGTGCACTACAGTGTATTGCAATATTGGAAGAGTTCTCTGTTGTCTCTGATCTATTAGACGATATGTGGTCCGTAGACGCTGATGTTGTAAATTCATTATGAACTATGGTGTGGTGTTTTTGTTGGCATGTCTGGCAACGAGCTGTTGAGCGGCATTCGCGACTAAAGTGACCAACATTCAAACAATTATGACAAATTCGTTTAGTTTTCATAAGTTCACGTTTTTCGTTCGATGGCATAGATATAAATTTAAAACATTTGTATAAGAAATGACGTCTGTTGCAGCATGGGCAATTGCTATCATCGTTCGAAGTTGTTATATGGATATTTCTACGAAAATTATTTCTAGAGTTTGGGTATGTCTTTACACGCGAAATTGACTGAGTAGGTTCTGCGAGAGATTCAAGTGTCCTAAACGATGTTTCCAAAAAACTAAAAAGTTCTCTGATCTTAGGAATTTCTACTGTGGCTTTAAGCGACTGTTCCCACTCCTTTCTTGATTGAACGTCAAGGCGATTTACAGTGATGTGTATTATAATTGCATCATAGGTTTCCTTTGTGACTCCTAAAGTATTTAGTAGAGCTAAACAATTGCGTGTAGTATCCAAAATATTCTGTATACTTTCGGCAGTACCATTGGAATTCGGAATTGAGAACAGTTTAGATAATAGAGTGCTAACAATTTTTCTACGATTGTGATAACGCCTATTAAGAGCATCCCATGCTAAGTCGTAATTTTCCTCAGAAGCTGGATATTCATTAACAATGTCTAGTGGAGTACCAGAGCAAGAACCCTTAAGGAAATAATATTTCTGTATCTTTGATAATGACACATTACTATGTACTAATGATACGAACATATCTCTATATGAGATCCAAGACAGGTAGTCTCCAGAAAAGGTTGGTATATCAATTTTGGGCAATCCTGCCTCAGCTGGTAACGTCGTATTTTGCCTAGATGATGATGCATGAAATGTGCTTGAGTGAAATATTGGCGAATGAGGTTGCTGAGTCTCAGCATTAATATCTAGCAATCTTCCTTTAAACATTTGAAAGAAATCTTGAAATTCCTCAAAATTTCTTCAGAAAAATAGGGTACATCATCTGACCTAATGAACCTTTCTCGAATTAAACTAATAAGATGGTAGTGTGTATCTGTAAACTGCTGACATACTGATTCTATAGATTCCAAATGGTTTGAACATAACCTCGTGTCTTTAGAACCCTAGATTTACTCTCAAACCTCTGAGATGTTCGTTTTAAATTGTCTAATAACCCACGTTGGTCTTCAATTATATTTGAAATGTCTTCCATTCTTAATACAAAATTAAGATTTATACATACGGTTTATTATGATTTCAAACCAAAATTTTCCGATTAAATAATCCTGGAATCGATCGAAATACAATTTCAAATACAAGCAAGATAAATGCAAAGCTGGTTTATTTATTTGGCTTCGGTTGATAGCGGAATCGTTCAATAAATAAAAGCCTTCTCATAAGTCCACCAAGATGAATCCAATTCTATGATATTTTATTACAAATGGGTTTTTCCCGGGTTTCGGCACCAATTTTAATGTATGAGAATTAATCAAACTACACTTTTGATTTTAACTTAAATTTATTAAATAAGCAGCTTGGCTGTAAACTTTATCAAACTTAAATTCGATTATTAAGCAGCTCGGCTTTAGACTTAATTACGCAGCAAGGCAGATGATATTATAATGTTCTCAGTTTAATGTTTTTTAAAAGAGTATCAAAAAATCAAGAATAGTAATATAATTTTAAGTCGTAGTTAATATGTACCAAAAATTCCAAAATCAGTGTAAATAAAAACCGTTATTATACTTAAGTACAGAAGTAGGTAGATTAAAAGAAGAAATATATAATTAATACAAAAAATACAATGAGAATGAACAATGTAATTAACATGATGTACATTACATAAATTAACAGCAGCTTAAAAATACTGGTTATATTTAATATTGAGGTAAAGAGATAGCAAATGTGAGTTTAATGATAAGTGTTACATTTTCAGAAACCCCAATAGGAAATTTATAATTAAAAGTTAAAATAAATAAAATAAAATAAAATACTGATTCTCCAACATCTAATGAGAAAATAATTTTTTAAGAAAAGTACCAATTTTAGACACCGTTTTCATCCCTTCATTACCCGGATTTCTAAAAAGTACCGAAAGGATTTCTAATAGACTTTAATTAGAATAGGATAAATTTAAAGTTTTATTTGCATGGTCATTTGTTTCGAAGATAAATAGGTTAAGAGAAGGTTCTATGGGGACAGTTTTTACCCTTTTAGATCTATAAAGTCTAGATTTTTAAAAAAGTACCAGACACCTATCAATTATTTTTTTGTTTAATAGAGGATACATTTGGAATTTTATTTATATCTTTGCTTCTTCAGGAGATATAAAGGATACTAATTTACCCTTTTTACCCATTTCTTCCCCTAAACGTTCGAGTTTCCAAAAATCCCTTCTTAGTGGATCTATACAATGCCAAAGGAACCTATAACCAAAATTTCATGATTCTAGCTTTAACGGTTTGGGCTGGGCAATGATGAATCAGTCAGTCAATCAGTCACGCAAGCCTTTTATATAGTATATAGATTTAGAGAAGGAGAATGGATAGTTAGCTGCTGGTTTCATATCTACATCCTGTACAAAAATATTTTATCAGATTAAAGGTGAGTTAGAATAATTATGAATTTTAGGTACATAGTTGTGGAACTAATTAAAATTTTCCTCGGATATTATTATTATTAGTCTACTAAAACTCATCTGCAAACAAATCAACTGTAGTAATGGGCGTCACAACAGTATTACATTCTACACCATTACAACTGGAACCATTTTTTTCTTTTTCGTACACTATCCACGGTGAACCAGAATTCAACGAACACATAAATCCAATGTCGCAAAACAGAATTTGGATGTAAAACCATTTCTCTTCTGCAGGGCGATTTAATACGATTAACCTTAGAATCCAATACGCATATATTAGGATACATCCCACCAACAAGAGCGGCTTTTTTGCTATATATTAATTGTGATGATCTTAAGGATCCAACCAATTAAGTACGGATATTGCAGTCCTGTTCCAACAGGCCATTCAAAATGAAATTATATTAAAATCAAAACACATTTCCTCATTTCTAAACTTATTTTGCCATTCTTGATGCAGACGCAAGAATATCTTCTTTTATATTATGACACAATAAATGTTTGAAGGGTTCATTTAAATGATTCATATTGTGTGACAACTCTAAGGGATCTATAGTCGACATAAAGCCTACAATGGTTAGTACCGGAACCAAACATTGCAACAAAGTAGCAATCACCATATTTTGGTCCTTTGCTTGATAGAATACAAATTTCGACTAGCCACTACCGATGGGCGTCTACTTTTTTCTATTATGGATTATTTCATGGCAGAATAATTTGTCCAGTTTGTTGTTGCCAACACTATACCCCCAAAGGTAGGTAAATAACAAGGAATATTTTGGAAGTCAACAAATATTTATCCTCTAATGTTTACATTTAATACAATCATTTAAAATAAAACTAAATATTTCTAACATGATGTAATAACTTAGTGCATCCTGATCTCTAGTATATTTTCCCAAATAAAAGGTTTTTGAAAATACATATGATTATTTCTTACAGAATATCAAGAAGATCTACATATGTCACATTTAAAGCAAAAAATGCAACTTTAACAGTCCTTTAGCCCATTCCGCAAGAGCAACGCCATGTAGATAATCCGGATTAAATGAATACGAGATGACAAAAGTTAATTTATTTTCAATAGCAGTTGGCGGTAACATGGCAGCCAGCAGTTCGCAGCGGGAAAAAGTGGCAGTAAAGAGGCCTTCCTAAAGGCATTATACACTAGTTCCATGAAACGTATACTAGTTCCGAAACAACTTCTTAGAATCAGTTTAAAAAAATTTCAAAAAGTTAAAAATTCATAAACTTATTTTTATCGAAATTGAAATCGCATTCATATGTATGTATATTTCTTCATATAACTGATTTATAAGGAACTAGCTTGCTGCCCGCTACTTCGTTAGCGATAAATTTTTGGCATTAATTAAATTTTGAAAACAACACATTAAACGATTTTTTAATTAATATGGGATATACATATGTAAATAATTTTCACATATGTATGTAGTTTTTACCAAATTTTTTATTCTCAAAATATCATACAATTGATTAAACTTATTGTTATCACTTCATATCACCTTTTTACTCTAATTTACTCTAATTTAAATAAATTCATTTTCATCAATATCCGAGATTTTAGATTAAAAGGACAGAGCTACGTGCAACTTTGTGGCTTTGCCTCCGTAAAAAATACATACCTAAAACTAAAACGGCCTTAACTAAAAAAAATCAAAATCGACATTTTCATTTTCTGATGTATTACATCAAGCCAAATGTTCAAAAAAATTTAGACTCAGCTGGTCAAAATTAGCGATTTTATTAACGAAAAACAAAGGGCCCTATCTTCAAAAGCAGTTTTATATAAAGGCTAAAAGACGTAACTAATCATTTGTAAATACAAATTGTAAATTGTCAAAATAACTGAGAGATTTACCGTTAAAAAATGTCTTTTGAAGAAATTAAAATCGCACTGATTGAAACTAAACTTTCCATTTTAAATAGTTTTTTGCTTCTCCTGTAGAATTTAAAAAATGTTAAATAAAAACAAATTATATTGTTTCTATCATACAACTAACTAAATTGTTATTTTTGTATAGTGAAAGATTTCTATATTTGACTGTATTATTGAACAAAATATGTATATTGAAATTGAAATTTTTTGTGTAAAAATATTTGCTAGTTTTTTATTACTGAGACCACTTTTTTTTAGTACGGAGCCAAATAAATATACCTTGCCTGGATAACCGTTTTTGGAAAATTTTATTAAAAACTTTTGTAATTAAATTGTGGACGTATTTTGACACCTACAAAATTTCGTTCTCATGGATAATATTGACTAAAAAAGGTAAATTTTTTAATCAATTTTGGTCTAAAAAAATTGTTTTTTTTTAAGCTCTACTTAACAGCATAACAATAAATAATATTTAAATTTAAGATCCAAAATGTTTTTAACAAAAAATACTTTAATCACTGCATTACATATGTGACGGGTACACTGCTTTCCTAATAATGGCAGCAGGGACATCGCTTCTTTAACACAGGCCAATATGGGACAGGACCGCATGCAACCATTTCCTCCGGACAGTTCTAGTTCACTTCACTGCACTTATCACTGGTTTTTTATGAAATTTTTATTCATAAAATCTAATTTTATATAAAAATGAAAATTTCGTGTTTGTTTATTTATTTTTTTTTTATTTGTTTACGTTTGTTTTTGGAGAACTGTCATATTCTTTTTTTTTGTAGAGACGTCAATTTATTTGTAGATTAGTACAGGACCATAGATTATGACACATACAGGGCAGTGCAGTTCAAGATTTGTAGGGTCATTCACAATAGTAATACACTTGACGAAAAAATCATAAAATGAATATAAGGTCATTTTATGATTTTTTTTTATGATCTTGAAAAGCATAAAAAGAACAAGAAAACACGAAGGGTGGCGATGGTACGAACGCCCATGAGGGCTTAAACATGCTTATCATCAAGATCAACTTCATTATGTGATTACTAAGTCAAGTGTGTGTTTGTCCACTGATATCAAAAAAAAAAACTTTATTCTTCAACTTTAAAGACTAAATTAAATCAGAAACAGTTAATGAAATAATGAATACTGAAACGGTTAATTGGAAATTCAACGTTTAATTAAATTGATCACATAAATTTAAATTATTTAATTAATTGATATCATTAAGAAAAAGGTAAGAGTTTCGAGAAATTAGATAGTGATTTTACAGACATAAAATACATTTTTTAAAGATATTATACAATGATATAATACAATACTTAAATAAAATTATATTTTTTTAATTAAAATTTAAGTAATGTATTGTTGTCATTGTTGTCATTGTATAATTATTTA